CGGGTAAAATGGTTGAATGCTTCTATTTCAATTATAAAGAAGAATCACTGAATAACATTGATTGAGTAGATCACCATTGAAAATTGAAGAAATGTTATGTGATTCATGTTGATTGCTGAATGAGCAATTCTCTTTAGTATGTGTTTCATGTCAAAGGGAACCAAATTAATCATTAAAGAACATCGAATATGACCAGTATTGAACGTTGGAAGTAAACTTAGTACGCGTACCAAGTCAAAGAGAACCAAATTCAATTAAAGTTGTGACGTCCAAAGACCATAAAGAACAGAGCAGAGAAGTTGAACATATATGGCTGCCAAGCCTGCCATACAAAATAGAAATTAGGTATATATTTGTTATGCATGCTTGTCTTATTTTTTCCGTAATTAGGTAAATATTTACACACTAATAATTATTTTATTTTATTTTTATTATTATTTTATTTTATATGTAACCTTACAATATCAAGTGATTGGTTTACACACACTCGATATTACTAGCATTTTTTTTTTTTTTTTTTTTCACTTCAATTTTAATAGCACTTGTCAATTACACATCCATTTTTTCCCACAAAATGAAACCACCACCCATTTGTCAATTAGAACGTCAAACGACTTCATCAATCAATTGAAAATTCAAATGATTCGTAATGACATTAAACTTTGAACCGACGGGATTTTGTTCTTAGATTTTACTTCAAAATGTCTATCATTTTAAGATGAAATTAATTTATTTAAGCACTTTACTTTTATTTTTTTCCAGGCGGTGTTGGATTTTGCAATCTATAACGCGCCTATTATCTCACACCCGCTCACATTAACACTCACTCAAATAAGTCGCCACAATCACCCATTCCAAGGGGTCTGACCACACTTCTGGCTAGGCTTGGAGTCTGATATCATTTGTTAATGACCTGCCCAAAAATCGTGTAGATCAATATTGTCCGTTTTGCCCATGCCCCTCTTGGTGCCCTCGATTTTGTTCAAAACGTGTTTACCTAGTTAAGGAATATCCGCACATATAAAAAGCCTCGACAACTTTTCTTCCCATAGGTGATATGGGACTTCACAACACTCCTTCTTGGGACCCAGCATCCTTACTGACCTGACTCGCATGGGCTTGTGCATGCTCCCTATTTTCGACTAAGGATTGGCTCTGATATTGTCACACTAAGGAAGATATTACATTGTGCGAGTTACAGATTGCATAGTCCCACATCGCATGAGAAAAATGAATGTAAAGTGCTTATATGTACTGACTCCATGTCCAAATAATACAAAACCTTTTATGCTGCGTTTAGTGTGCAGGAATGGAATGGAATGGAATGTAAGTGGGAATGGAATGTAATGATCATTTTCATATTCTATTGTTTGGTTGTAAATATAAAATGTGTAGGAATGAAATGATATTATTATAACAATTTTAGTGTTTTGTTGAATTAATTTAAAATTTAGAATGAAATAAATTTTAAATTGAATTCTCCAAAATACCCCTTTTAGTAATAAATAAATTAAATTAACAAAATAACATTCTCTAATAATTTTTTAAAAATAAATGGTGGTAGTGGCGGTTGTTGATGGTGGTGGAGGTGGAAAGCAGTAGTTGTTAGTAAAATATATACTCCATGTGACATTTAAGATATAACAAACCTTATACTAATATATCATGAGATAATTAACAATATGTTAAAAAAACATTAATTAAATATGCAACTCTATATTTAATTAAATATGCAAAATAAAGCAATAAAATAATAATAATAAATAAAGAACCTAGACCGAGGCTAGTATTGGATACTATGTCCTTAAGACAGATTCGCCCCCCGCTATGGTGCTAACGGACTCAGTGGCGTCTATCTCCTAGGATACAACGGTCTACATCCACCAGTAGAAGCACTACAAACTCGTGGATACGGCGAACCTCCTCCGTGTAATACTCTCTCTGACTCAAAATGCATCTATATAATATAAATGCTGAATTGGGTGCAATCCGAACCAAATGGTTCGGACCAATCTTAATATGGCTCGATGAAATTGAATTAGGGTCTAAGTGGTTCGGACCACTTAACCTATGGTTTGAACCCACTTGGGTTGGGTTCAAGTCTAGAGAGGGAGATAGAAGAAATTGAAAAATGAATAACCTGTAAATGATCCAAAGGGAGGTATTTATAGAAACAGAAATGCCTTTTCGGATTGGGTGCATCTCTTCATCATTGGACACAACCATTGCAATAGGTTGCAATGGTTCACATGGTGTCTGTTCACTAATAGACACATCCATTCCAATAGGTTGTAATGGTTCACATGGTATCTGTTCACCACTAGACACATCCATTCCAATAGGTTGCAATGGTTCACATGGTATCTGTTCACCAATAGACACATCCATTCCAACAGGTTGCAATGGTTCACATGGTATCTGTTGGTTTGGAGTTGCAACCCTTTAGAAACAAATGCAACTATTTGAAAAACAAATACAACCCTTTAGAAATAGATGCAACCCTTTGGAAAAAAAAAAAAAAAAAAACTAACTTTTAATTTAAATTCAAAAACCAACCACCCATTTAAATAAGCTCAGCCCAAAATTAAAGGCCCAATCCAAGATTCTATTTAGTAAAAAGAATAATTGGACTTTACAATTAGAACCAAGCCCAAACCTAAGTTTGGCTTATTTAAATTTCAATTGGTTTCAACATTTTTGCCATGTGGGACAAACATTTTTTACATTTTGCATACCCATTTAGGTTTATCAAAACACCACACTTTGGAGCTAATTTCTCATTCACCCGGAAACAGATTTGAGAAAGTAAATATACCACGTTCATCTCCTTACGGAGAGAAATGCGCTCGTTTAGAGATCCGTAAAAAATTCTTAGCCGAATCTATTCCAAATCTCATCCAAAGTTTATACTTTTAATGCCTCTGTTTCCAACAGTAGTGGTGTTGGAAGGTGGCAGAAGGCGGAGGTGGTGGTGGAAGATGGTAGTGGTGTTAGTGGAAGGCGGTGGAGTAGTGTAGGTGGCTGTGGTGGAAGGAGATAGTAGTGTAGGTGGCGGTGGTGGAAGTCAATGGAGGTGACTGTGGTGGTGGTGGAAAGCAGTGGAGGTTGCGGTGGTGGCCGGTGATGGAAAGTGGTGGTGGTGGAAGGCGGTGGCTGTGGCGGTGATGGAAGGTGGTGAAAGGCGGTAGTGGTGGTGGGCGCGATAGCGGTGGTGGTGATGGAAGGCAATGGTGGTGGTGGTGGTAGTGGTAGTGGCGGTGGAGGTGGTGGTGGAAAGCGGTGGTGGTGACGACGATGGTGGCAGTATAAGGCGGTGGCGGTGGTGAAATGCGATGGTGGAAGGTGGTAATGGTAGTAAAAGGTGGTAGTGGTGGTGTGTAACTGGTGGACGCTTGCCCATTTACCCAAAAACTCGAACTGTTGGGTAGTGCTGCATACCCACTCATTTATACCCATGTCACTTCCCATCTGGATCCGATGTGGGACAAGTCTCCCCTTGTAACATTCTCCCCCACCCGAACTCGCAACGCCCTCGTTGCGGTCGGGCCACCCTGCCTACCCGGGGTGGCTCACCCGGACGCCTTCCGGGCCAGGCGTTTGGCGTGGCATCGGATCAAGGATTGGATTTGACTCTGATACCAACTGTAACGGGTGGGCGCTTGCCCATTTACCCAAAAGCTCGAACTGTTGGGTAGTGCTGCATACCCACCCATTTATACCTATGTCACTTCACATCTGGATCCGATGTGGAACAAGTCTCCCCTTGTAACCTGGTGGTAGAAGGAGGTAGTGGTGAAAGACGATGGTGATGGTAGTGGTGAAGGTGGTAGCGGTGGTGGTGGAAGGGGTGGCAGCGGTGGCGGCGGCGGCGGTGGTGGTTGGGGCAAAGGAAGTGGTGGCGGTAGTGAAAGGCGGACGGTGGTGAAAGGAGGTGGCGGCAGTGGTAGTAGTGGTCGAAGTAAAGGAAGGCGGTGACGATGGTGAAAAGCGGTGGCGGTGGTGGAAAGTTGTGTGCAATGGTGAAAGGTGGTGGTGGTGGTAAAAGGCGGAGGTGGTTGTGGTGAAAGGTAATGGTTGTTTTTGGACTCGGAACACGGGGGTTTTTCGGGAAGTTGATTTAAAAAAAAAAATTTACTTGGGAATGAAATGATCATCCTATAGATTAAGTTGTAGAATGGATTTTCATTCCAATAGAATAACCATTTCCATTTTAAATTACATACCAAATAAAGAAATAGTTAGAATGGGTATTCCATTCATGTACACTAACATTAGACTAAAACTCAAGAATAATATCGTGCGGAATCAGTTGCAAAATTAAAATAATTTTTCAGAAGTTTTTAAATAAACATTGTAATATGCTTGTAGTGATTACTCAAGTCACATAAAGCGAGAGCGGGAGTGAAAGCGAATTAGAGAGCGGGAGCGTAAGAGCGACATAATTAAATCATAAATATGGAGAATTTAAGCGAGAGTGTGCGCGGAACGTGACAACTAAAGCATATTCAGAGTATGAGAGCGACACCTGTTGAGAAAAATTGTGTGACTCATGTAATTACGTATTGCTGATGACCCTTTACACCCCGGTAAATGCATGCATGTAACATGAATGATGGTATAAGAAGACAAAATAGTGTTCAAAATATTAAGAGAAGTCCTTGTTGAATCAATCAAGCAAGTCCGCAGAAAGATAATGACTGTTTAAATAACCCAAGACTGGAATGGGTCTTTCAAAGTTAGTCCTCCAATCAAATGGAGGCTTTAATAGTTTAATATAAATAAATAGACTGAAAAATAGACTACAGGGAAGACATTTTCTCCTGAAATGGCAAGCATGGCGTGTCTGGTGCTATTTGTTTTTGAAGTTTTGTCATATATAGTGGTTGATCACATTAACATGTTCCTCATCAACACTCTCTAGGTTGTTTGTAATTATAGTTCACCAAATCAAAACTCCACACTCTCTCTCTAGACTCTACACACTCTCTCTCTAAAACTCTATGGCTACACAAAGTAAAATGGTCAGTGTGCTAAGCATTGATGGAGGTGGTGTGAGAGGCTTAATTCCTGCTACCATTCTGTCATGCCTCGAAACCAAGCTTCAGGTACTCACAGACCAAGCTTTATATAGTAATTTTTTTTAATAACGGGAATGTCGGGACAAAGTCGACTAATTTATGAGACTCATGCAAGGGGTCCATGCGAATTGGGTAATTTTTAGATTATGTCCTCGAGCATGATCCCTAAAACTATCATATTCAAGTAAAGAAGCTGAACTGTAATTTTCTATTGATTACTGCAGGAAATTGATGGACCAGATTCAAGAATTGCCGATTATTTTGATGTGATCGCTGGAACAAGCACAGGAGGGCTTGTTACTACCATGCTTACAGCTCCAAGTACGAATAATCGACCAATGTGGACTGCCCAAGACATTGTTGATTTCTACATAGAGCACTGCCCCAAGATTTTTCCTCAGAAAAAGTGAGTAGATTCAAAAAAAAAAAAAAATAAAAAAAAAAAAAATCAGAGTTTTTAAACAACTCAATTGTGTTTTGAAATTCAATATAATAATCTAATTAAGCACGCTAATAATTAGTACCATTTACTCGAAATTTCTCTCCTCAAATTTTCCATTTATTTTTGCTTTCTGATGTGTTCTTGCCTAGCTAAATTATAAGATAATTTTTTCACCATGAATACTATTAATTTGCTATGCATATAATTAATTATCTGACATGTTTTCTCTGAGCAGGGGCTTGTTCAGTTCCATAACAAATATTTTCCACGATTTGATGAAGCCAAAATACGATGGAAAGTACCTGCACTCCTTAGTACAAACAATGCTCGGTGAGGCTACCCTGGATCAAACCCTAACAGAAGTCGTAATTCCAGCTTTTGACATCAAGCTTCTTCAACCCAACATATTTTCAACCAATGAGGTACCATATATAGAGAAATTGACATGAGTGATCATAGTTTAATTACTGTAATTAAGACCTTATGTTTAATTAATTAGTCTGATTTTGACAAAAATATCATTTTTGCTATATAGGCAAAGGTTAATGCCTTGAAGAATGCTAAATTATCAGATATATGCCTTAGCACCTCAGCTGCTCCAACATTTCTCCCACCTCACTACTTCCAAACAAAAAATGCCAAGGGACAAACTCGTAGTTTCAACCTCGTCGATGGTGCACTTGCTGCAAATAATCCTGTAAGCATCTAAAACTTATGTTCTGAATGTGTAGTCGAAGTATTTCACATTGCTTTATGGAAAATACTTGAATTCTCGATCTTTCACTTAATCAATTCGTACTCACCCAGTATTGAATTTTTACAGACGCAACTTGCAATCAACCATATATTAAAGGAGATTGTGCCTAAGAAGGACTATGTCAACGTCAAGCCAACGGATGGAACCAGTTTCCTAGTGATCTCCCTTGGTACCGGTACTGCAAAACACGAATGCCGGTATAGTGCAGCAGCAGCCGGTAAGTGGGGTTTGCTAGACTGGCTTTGCATCAATGGTGGCACCCCTTTAATTGATGCCCTAACACAAGCTAGCTCTGATGTTGTTGACATCCATGTTTCCTCTCTCTTCCAAGCTCTCAATGCCGAAAATAATTATCTTCGCATTCAGGTAATGAATAACAAGATTAAAAGGTCTTATTTCTTTACAATTTCAGATCATTTTCTATAATTTTATAGCTCAGACATGGTTTAGAACAAAAGTAGAATTGAAAATAGATTAAGGAATGAGACCCTTTTTGAATAAATAGATTAATTATCAAAAAAAAAAAAAAAAAAAAATCAGCAGCCCTAAAGTAGTTGAGACTTTTTTTATTTTTATTTTTTTGGTATGCAGTTGAGGGTTGAACCATTTTCTTGGAAGAAATATATAATAATGTTAGAAAAATAAAAATGCTCAATTTAATTCTACACTCTTTCTAATCGATCCTTCACTATAGACATAGTTTGACAATTGACTCATTCCTTGTTAGCTAGCAGTAATAACAATTCAATATTTTGAAATAGTACAAACTAATCAAAACAGTTTATATTAATTTGTTGACAATTATATGACATTAAAATGAAGTGATTATTTTGTATGAATGATCAGGATGATACACTGATGGGTGAAGAAGCATCAGTTGATGTAGCCACGACGAAGAACCTGCAAAAACTAGTGCAGATTGGGAAGCAACTGCTAAAGAAGCGAGTGTCGATGGTGAACTTGGAGACAGGCAAGTTTGAAGAACTCGAGACAAAGGGCACCAATGAAGAAGCCCTCGCTTGCTTCGCCAAGCTACTGTCAGATGAACGCAGGCACCGCCAAACCATTGTTTCTGTGGATTGATTCCATTAAAGCTTTAATGGGATCACAATTATATTGATCCCATTAAAGCTATTTTTATTTTTTTTGGAAGGGGATACTTGTAAAGCAATTTTGTTCTTACTTTCATTATGTAGTCAATTTAATTAATTTTTTAATTCTTTGAGATGATAATCTTTGAATCAATAAACTCTTTTGCCCGGTTGGAGTAGCAAGGCGTACTCTCCTTAAGTCGCTAGTTCTCAATCTCACTGAAGTTGAGGTCCGGACATAATTACATAAATAATACACATGATTTGCAAGTAATTTAATCCATTCGGAGTTTGCAAACTGTTTAAGAGTTAATAGTGATTAGTGGATGGTTTGATTTTTCGTTAAAAAAAAAAAAAAAAAAAAAAAAAAAAAAAAAAAAAATTCAGTAAGTTAGATAGGCATGGGGCAGTCATTGCATTGCTGCAGAAAACTAGTATTTTAAAATAAGTTGTCCAGGTGGTAATACTTCTCCTTTCCCCTACAAACGACCAGATTCAATCCTCCACTTTGCCCCCCTTCAATTTTTAATAAAAATCCTGTTTTATTGGAAAGCAGCCAATCCACGTGCTGCAGTGTGTGAATTCGGTTTGGTAAACCATGACGAATAACAGAAGAAACGTTAAGTGCAGTCACAACCCTGCAATAGCAACACTCATATTTCATTGATATGATGATGTAGAAGGTGAGAACATCATCAAACAATCGTGAAAATGACATTAATTGTCACAATGTTCAATAAAATTATTGAAACGAATTTTTTTTTATACTCCCTACCTTTTAAAAAAGTCATGTTTTGAGAACTGTGTGATTGACACTATTTTCAGGAGAGAGGGATTAATATTTTTCTTATATTTACAATGATGACATGATGGTGAAAAAGTCTTCCCTTTTTCTTATATTTCCCGGTGTCCTCCCATTATGGTGTTTTTCGGTGACGGTGGATTCATCTTGCGTAATGCCGCCGTTGTTTCTTTGGCGTATGGACCACGCTGGTGCAGAGATGGGTCTAGGCGAAGCTTCCAGTTCTTGGGGGTGGGTTTTTTATCACATGGGTTTCTTTCGTTGCACTTTCGCTCTAAGCATTGTTAATGGTTATGTGGGCTTTATGTCTTTATTGGGCCATTTTGCTGTAGGATATGTTTGCCTGAGCCCATTGACTGTGTTTCTTCTTCTGTGTGACGCTTGTACTTTTGGTTAAAAAAAAAAAAAAATTTCTTCCCTCTCATATCATATGGCTGTCCTATAATGCATGGTCAGTCAATGCCCAAAGAGAGACAGGACGTTGCATTTGCATAGGCGGCTAAAATGGTAGAAAAGTAGTAGTATGATCCAAAGACCGTCTGCGCTGTCTGTGCTAACACCAAATTTCAAACATGATGTCAATGGAATATGCGGGATGGACGGGGGCATGTAGGTCCGTCCCTGGATGATGTGATGACTGCTCAAACCTTTTAATAAACTAACCACCATGGTCCATGACCTCATGGCTGATTCAGCTAAGTTATATTTTTAAGTGAAATTTTATTTATTTATTTTAAAATTGTAAGCAGTAGAGTTTGATAAGAATTGAATGAAAGAATGAGATGACTGAATATGAATCACAAAATTAAATTGTGTATAACTTAAAGATTTTAAAGGAGAGATCCTTTCCTGCTTCACGCATCAATGATATACAGTCAAATTAAAATATTTTCTTTAACCAATTAATGTTATTTAGTCTTTTCTAAGTCTTTCAGTAACGTTTTTTCGACGCACAGTGCTCGAGCAATGGGCTATGCTCGAGCACAGGTGGTTATGCTTGAGTTCTGGGATCCTGTTTGCTTCAAAAATGTTCCAAATGACCCCGTTTTAAGTATAAATGATGCTGAACAAGTTTATAGGTATTGGAACAGTGACACAGGTCTAAAATATATAAATTGGTAATAGACCCTTGTGTTTTGATATTGGATGGAAATGATGGAATTAATTAATAAATAAGATTTAATCTTTCTTATTATTTAATTTGTGTAATTAAATGTAATTGTTGGATTCATTATTATAATCAATGTTGTTGATATACTTATGATTTACGAGCATGATACATGATTGTAATTATTTGTTTTACCATGATTAGTTATGAGTAAATGATATTATGATTTTAATCATACTTTTATTATATTTAATGTTTTAGATTCGAACTATTATGGCTTATAATTGTTGTGTTATTGTTATATATGGCTCTGATGAGATTTATTTATGTATGTGATGTAATAATTGAGATAGTTAATAAGTTAGTTTCTTTGATATTTACACCATTGTTAGATATGGTTTTGTTGGATTGATGTGTAGGCAGGTTGGCTAATAAGTCAAGATACTCAATTTGTGCCATTGTTAGATATGACTTTATTTATTGATGATGTATATATATATGTGTGTGTGTGTGTGTGTGTGTGTGTGTGTGTGAGCCATGATACGAGCTTAAGGTCTCGAGATCAATGGTTAAGACTGAAGCGTATATTGTCGGTTTAGATGGGTAGCTAGATATAGGAGATGTGTGTACCCTGGTAGAAGGGGACTCCGGACCACCTCATATGTGATTTTTCCATGAGATACCCACTGCACGGTTGAGACTGCCCTAGTGTGTATATATGTATGTATCGACTATGTGGATATAACAAGAGTTTAGCTAAGAATGTATTGATTGTCAGTTCTCTGATTGTGTCGTGATAGAGAGAAATTGTTTGTGGATCTGACCTACTATTTATTTTTTAGGTCCTCGGTATTACTAGTCTTAGAGTTATTCGTGCAAATAAGAGATCTGGTGTGTGCTTGTTGAGACACCCAAAGTTGCAATATGAAGGTGTCGTGTGACCAAGTTTGAATTTATAAAATGCCACTAACACTACTAACTAAAAATGTAGCTAAAGTGAGTAGGGATTATCCCAAAGGATATGGAGTGTATTTGTGCTTGGAAATCAAGGTCGGATTAGTAGGTCGAATGATCAAAGATTATTTGATTGGTTAATTAAACTACAATTTAAACTAAATAAAGGTAACGTGAAGCAAATAGAATAAATGGAGTGTAAAGAATATAACAGAAAGGTCTTGAGACTTAGAATTCACCACTAAGCATCACCTTTCTAGACATTCAATGTTTGATGGATTAGGGGGATTATATGTTGTAATTGAAAGTGTGTGCCATTAATTGAATTAACAAGCATGGATGACCAAATAAGTATACATTGTCTAGCCAAACTAGTGAATAGCACAACATATCAAATCAAGCCATTATTCCTTCCTTAAAGCCCACAATTAATGCACATCATCAAATTAGAGAAATATACTACTTGCATCATAAGCATGGAACATCAAACAACAAGTATGAATTGTCCTCCCATCTAAGAAAGTAGGGCAATTACACTACAACTAAGCTAGTGACATGAAAAATAAACTAATTAAACTAAGGAGGAGACACAATCCATCAAGAAATAAGTATAAACCATCAAATAAATCACAAGAGTAATCTATTTAAGCACCATGCCTTGACCATCACTAGATTCATAGCATCAACACACATAGACATGCATTAATATCACAAAATCTAGAAATAAATACATAAACATTCATCCTAGCATACATAGACATATGGATAGAATTAAATGATCAATTGAAAGTATTCAACCACACAAATCATTGTAGAAACAAGATTTATATATAAAAGATGTCAAGACAAACATGACAACACAAATCCCCTTTAATTACAAAGCATCAAAGTCTAGGAGGCATGCTTAGGGCTATCTATAGCCCTAAGAGAATGGTTTAGCCACTCATTGATGTTGTCATCCAACCCTCAAGGGTTATCTCCATGATAGAAATGATCTTCTTCTCCTTGGTGGAAACCCTAGATGAATAGAAGAACTCTCTCAAGATGGTGTGTATCTCTCTCTCTCTCTTTCTAATCTTTAGACTCATTTATATGGTTATATATCTTCTTTCTTTGGTTCCAAATGGCTAAAATCCTTATATAAGTAGCTCAAATGTCACACTTAATGGTCAGACCTTGTGCACTAGGACCTCCAAATGATTGCACCACGAGCACACCTTTTAATTGGTTGGAACTCTGTTTTTCTCTCACTTGAGGAGGTTCGATCGATCACAAGGTTGCTTCGATCGATCAAACTAAGGCTGCACCTTTTGGAATAAAAACAAAATTGAGATATTTTTGGAATATTTTGAGAAAATGATAAAAGTGATAGGTGGGGATAAGATAAAAAATGTTCGATCGATCGAAAAGAGAAATTTTCTGAGGATAAGGACAAAAGGCTCGATCCATTTTGGCATGGTTGGAACGATCACTATGTGATCGATCGGAGCGTAGTTCGATCAATCGAAGAATGCTGTTTTTCATCACTTTGCCTCCACTTTGCTCCTTTCTTCCACAAAGCTTGAGATTGCATCTTTTATACTCTAATTCAGCTGAATTAACTTATTTTGGGGATAAGTGCTTGAAAAGGAAAATAACATGAAATTATACTAAAACGAAAAAATAAGATAGAATAAGGTCTTAGAATGTTAAAGCTTAAAGGGTTTAAATGCGCACTTTTCAGCGCTTATCACACCCCCAAACTTAAATATTGCTAGTCCCTAACAATGAACTACAAGGGAAATAAAGAAATGAACAACTAAACAGCTATAAACTAGAAAGCAATAAATGGAAAATACCACTTTTGTAGGGAACACGATTGCATTTAATATATGCAACAAGCCTTTTAAACCCCTAGGTTACCCCTATTGGACGAGTGAAGTCTCCTGATGGTTTCCAGAAATGATACTCATAAACATTAAGCTCATTCTCACAAAAGAGGCACCAATATTCCAAACAAGCATTGGGAGAAAATTACCTCAAGTATGCAATTTTTCAACCATTTCTAAGCAATCTCCCAAAATCTCAACATCAAGCAAACAAGTATGCTCATCGACACATCAAGACAATGATCATGCAAATCAAAATA